CAAAATTCCATCAAACACTTAGGAATATCTAGGAATATTTTATGAAAAGTATTTTAAAAATGCCTGCAAAGGTTTTCGATACGATTTAGCGTCTATGTTTTCATACACGATTTAAAAAAAAATACAGAATAGGATAGTTGTCTTCATGCTTATCTGTTTTGTAGGCGTCTTAGATTATAACCTTATGACGTCTAACACTGCTCCAGAAAAGAAGACGCGTAAGAGGAATAAACCTTAATTTGACCGACAACAAAACACTGTTCAAAGCAGGTTAGTGCTTATATAGCAGTGTATTTGGGTGAAGAAAAGGTTCAGTTTTGAGCACCGATCGCTAGTAATTTACAGCAAAATGATGTTCAGAATATCAACATGGCTGCAAAGTAAAATTGTTTTAGGGCTCAAAGTCTTCTGGAGAGCATAGCATTGAGCTTTAAAATCGACGAGTTCCATAGCATAGTAAAGAGCTCACGGCCAAGATTATTGTAACAGAATTCTTTTATCATCCATTATAGCCATCCTATTTTCTTTGCCCCATCATGCCCATACTGTACTGTTACCGTTAAGAAAACGAAACCGATTTCGAAAGTTGCCCGGGCAAACATATGGCTCACATGCTATCTAACCCAAGCCTTTTCTTTTATAACAATATCATGCAGGTGCATGTTTTGTGAGAATAATTCTGCGGATTTTTACCACTGAGAAATAACCAATTTGTGTCTTTTTTGACAGAAAAGTGCCTTTTTTCCAATCACAATTGGTAAAAATTAGAGAGCTGAAAGTAGGTTCGACGCACAGCTGAATTGACATCATTTCTTCTCATACATAATGCTTGTTTACGAATGATTCCCTGGATATGTCGACGTCCGATATGATCTCTAGATTTGACAGTGTGCATTCTCAGCGAAGTGAGATCAGTGTGAGATTTTAGTCCATGAAGTTGTTTTGAAAGACGGGAAAATGTTACCTGCTGCGAGCCTCCTATGCTGTATGTGTGATATATGACCTGCCCGTAACCGAAAATAGCTTACGCAGTAACTAAAAGCACCATATCGATCGCGATACGAGGCAAATAGTTACGCTTAGTAACCAGGTTTACATAAAGATAAATAGCTTGCCCTTGCACCAAAGGTGGAATGTGCCAACGATGATAGATACTGGGTAAGGGCGCTATTCTCGTCAAAGCAACTCCCTAATCTCCTAGCAGATCATACGGTGGCAAGGCAGTATACATTGGCCAGAGAAGTGTCCGGCTGATGGACACTCCTTTAGTTCCGTCCAATGGGTACTGCCTCGCCACCGTATGATCTGCTTCGAGGTTACAACGCCCCCCATTTCATAAGTAGACTCGTCTGGTATATCCCATGATCCTCTGCGGTGGGTTTTGGCGTCTGCTGCGAGGTATTGCAGTCGTCTCCCCAGTTCGGTCAGCCACGGTGGAAGAGCCACACTCCTATTGGTCAATGCTATATAATCGACACAATCCCATTGGTCGATCAAAAACAGTAACGGGGTGCAATAGTTTCGCATGCAATCGCGGTTTCGCTAGTGTGGGGAGGGCTACCGACGTCTTTGCCTCGATTTTAGGTGCAAAAACGTCAGCTTTTACAACTAAATTTACTGCATTTCTGTGGCTATAAGCTCGGGGGACCAGGAAAGGCACCACACAGATAATATTTGAGTGGATTTTAGGAGGGGATCTACCGCCAAAACATCAGATTTGGTTATATGGCTAACGTTATATTCAAGGAGGTTTAAAATCTTGTAAATTTGTATTTAACCTTCTTGTTTACATTGCAGTACGACGTGCGTAATTTTGCATTGTGCAGTCGTTGAAATTGCGTGTCCCTTCTTAGTCTCTATCAAGCTTAGGGTGGCGGCTGGAAAGAGTAGAAATCGGCCAAATAGAAAGATAACATGCCAGGGTCCACTAGAGGGTACAGTAACGTGGACCAGGTAAGGCTCTGTACAGGTAATATTTACATGGCCCTTTCATCTGTGGACCAGGTAAGGCACCGTGCAGGTAATATTGGCATTGTTCTTTTATCTGTGGACCAGGTAAGGCTCCGTACAGGTGATATTGGCATGTCCCTTTCATCTGTAGACCAGGTAAGGCTCCGTACAGGTGATGTAGGCATGGTTCTTTTATCTGTTGACCAGGTAAGGCTCCGTACAGGTGATATTGGCATGGTTCTTTCATCTGGGACCAGGTAAGGCTCCGTACAGGTGGTATTGGCAATGTTCTTTTATCTGAGGACCAGGTAAGGCTCCGTACAGGTGATGTAGGCATGGTTCTTTTATCTGGGGACCAGGTAAGACTCCGTACAGGTGATATAGGCATGGCCCTTTCATCTGGGACCAGGTGAGGCTCCGTGCAGGTGATATTGGCAATGTTCTCTTATCTGTGGACCAGGTAAGGCTCCGTACAGGTGATATTGGCATGGTTCTTTTATCTGTGGACCAGGTAAGGCTCCGTACAGGTGATATAGGCATGGCCCTTTCATCTGGGACCAGGTAAGGCTCCGTACAGGTGATATTGGCATGGTTCTTTATCTGAGGACCAGGTAAGGCTCCGCACAGGTGATATTGGCATGGTCCTTCATCTGGGACCAGGTAAGGCTCCGTACAGGTGATATTGGCAATGTTCTTTCATCTGAGGACCAGGTAAGGCTCCGTACAGGTGATATTGGCATGGTTCTTTTATCTGAGGACCAGGTAAGGCTCCGCACAGGTGATATAGGCATGGTTCTTTCATCTGGGGACCAGGTAAGGCTCCGTAGAGGAAATATTTTTGTGGTAGGATCATACAATTTATATTTTTTCGGTCATTTGTATCTTACATATTTTGATTTTTGACATATCTACATATGTAGTTATCTCTCACCAACAATATTTTTTTCAGGGCATTTGCCAGAAAGGAGAAACTGATTAATGCATCACAATCTGGAATTGTTGGAAGTGCCTGGTTTAGTTGATAGCAAGAACATGAATGCCGAACCCTGACTTATGTTATTTTGATTCTGTCATGCAGGTTCTTTCTCCAAAATGTAGAATAACTAGAGGTGGATTGTAGTTCTGAACTGTACAACAATTCTGTGTTTGATCGTTTGTATGTTTGTTTTCTAATTGTCTGAGTGTCATATTTTCTAAAACTGTTGAAAGCATAACATGTTATACTGACTTAAAGAAACTACATTCATTACT